CAGGGAAGGGTGACTAGTTATGTCGAAGATTCGGGCTGGATCCTGGACATGGACTGGTTTGGAGTCCTGACAGCAGAGTACAGATGCAGTATTTAAAGTATCATCCTGTGTTCCTTTATATTTACACAGTAGTGGCCAAATAATGAATGTTATCTCTATTTATTTATTATATTATGCTAACCATACACTCTAAATTGCCCATAGGTGTGACTGCGAGTGTGTGTGTGGCTGTTTGTCTGTGTTGGCCCTTTGGTGGACTGGCGACCTGCCCAGGAAGTACCCCGCCTCTCGCTTGAAGATGCTGGGATTGGCTCCAGCTTCCCCGCGACCCAGATGGATTAAGCGGTATAGATAATGGATGGATGGATGGATGGATGCTAATCATACTTTTTTTTTTTTATTTACAAACCTAGCTTATAATTTCTTTTAATTGAAAGGCTCTGTTTGATGTATATTAAATTCTGATATAATATAAAAAAGAGTACAAATTTGTACCTTTGCTTGTCACCGGGGCTGTACCCTCAAGGGTCTGCCAATTGTACCCTAGCTATAGGTAAATGTACCTTTGAAGGTACAGAAATGTACTCCAAGGAACATTTTTGTACCATTAGGGGTACATTGATGTTGTTTGCACCTTGGGGATGTTCTTCAGGATCCATTTCTGTACCTTAAAAGGTACATTTAACTACAGCTAGGGAACAATTGGCAGAACCTTCAGGGTACAGTCCCAGTGAAAAGCAGAGGTACAAACTGGTACTCTTCTTCTGACAGTGTAGATTCTGTCCAGTTTTTTGCAGGAGCAATATAGTGCATTTTATATTATAATACATATTGTATTTTCCCAGTTGTACTTATGGCTCATTTACACTAGAGGGCAGCACATACACGTGAGCAGTTGATTCAAAGATTAAGTACAATGGAACGAAGTAAAACTTCGTGTATATGATCCCTGACGTGGTATAAAAATGTATACAAAATAGATTATTAACTAATCAGATTTCAATAACATCTAATGATTTTTAGAATAATTACCATAACAAACATTCATATTTTATTTATTTTAAATATGTATGTGATTCATATGCTAGGCCATAAATTTATTGATCTAATTTGTGTTAAATATTAATGCTTAATAGTTAAACTGTTTAGTGTCTGTAACTAATATAATATTTTAAGTATTGTGTTCATATTATTTCCAATGGGCTCACCACCCGTAGGAGGGGCCATAGGGGTCGGGTGCATTGTGAGCTGGGCAGTGGCCAAAGGCGGGGACCTTGGCGGTCCGATCCTCGGCTGCAGAAGCTAGCTCTTGGGACATGGAATGTCACCTCTCTGATGGGGAAGGAGCCTGAGCTGGTGCGCGAGGTTGTTTGAAATTCCGGCTAGATATAGTCGGGCTCACCT